CGCGGGTTGTCGATCTCGACCCGCTTCCAGCCGTCGGTCTCCCCGGGGGACGAGCACTCCCGGATCACGCGCCTCACGCGATCGGCCTGGTCCAGCAGCTCCTTCCCCTCGTCCTGGCGGGTGGCGGCAAGCACGGAAGCTGTGTCTAGGTCGGGCATGTCCCCCTACAGGCGAACTTTGAACGACAGTTAAGAAATAGTCAAAAATACTCCCCAAATACAAAAATGTGGAAAAATCGCCCCCAGACTATTTTTGAATATTCCTCCTGTAGAAGGACACGCCCGACTTAAGGCTAGGTGGCGAATTCCAGAAACCCATCCCTTGGGGGGGGCTGGTCTTGCTTCCGCCACCCTCCGCCGGCCATCCGCCGACGAAGAGATGCCAACACTACCGATCCCTCGAAGGCGAGGCCGTTTCTGGAAGTGCCCGTATGGTTATCTCACGCAGGGCCGAGCAGGGATTAAGTGTCACCGCCCCGAAGCTCTCGCCTGGTTCCAACTGCTGCCACCTCTAGCAGCGCCCCCTGGGACACCAATAGCAATACAGACGCATACATATATACATATATGTATACATGTACAGATATCGGAGGTGAGGGGGTGAGATCGAAGTGGAACGGAGAGCCTCCCTACCAGGAAATCGGTTTCGGTTTCGGTTTCGTGTTCGTGCGTGACGTGCGTGCGGGCGAGGCGAAGCTGCGTGGGCGGGCGAGAAGTGTCCCGCCTCTGGCTAAGGCGCGGCCGGACCAAAACTCTCCCTTCCGGCAACCGGTGGCGCGCGGTGTCCCGCCGGTGTCCCGCCAGTGTCCCGTCGGTGTCCCGATGATGATGATGATGACGATGATGAGGATGATGGCCATGGTGGTGATGATGATGGTGTCCCGATGATGATGATGATGATGATGATGATGATGATGATGTTGATGATGCTGATGTTGCTGCTGATGATGATGATGATGATGATGATAATCCTGATGCTGTTGATGAGGATAAGATGATGAGATGATGATGATGATGATGATGATGATGATGATGATGATGATGATGATGATGATGGTGATGGTGTCCCGATGATGATGATGATGATGAAGTTGATGATGATGCTGTCGACGATGATGATTTTGATGATAATGGTGTCCCGATGATGATGATGATGATGATGATGATGTTGATGATGATGATTCTGATGATGGTGGCCCGATGAAGATGATGTTGATGATGAGGATGATGATGAGGTGATGATGATGGTTTTGATGATGGTGGCCCAATGATGATGCTGATGTTGATGATGATGATGATGATAATGGTGATGGTGATGATGCTGACAATGAAGATGGTGGCCCGATGATGGTGATGTTGATGATGATGATGTTGCTGATGGTGATGATGGTGTTCCGATGATGATGATGTTGATAAAGTTGTTCATGATGGTGACGATGATGGTAAGATGGTGGTGATGACGCTGGTGATGTTCCGATGATGATGATGATGATGACGATGGTGTCCCGATGATGATAATATTGATGATGATTATGGTGACGATGATGGTGTCCCGATGATGATGACGATGATGGTGATGATGATGGCCATGGTGGTGATGATGATGGTGTCCCGATGATGATGTTGATGATGCTGATCTTGCAGATGATGATGATGATGATGGTTGTGTCCAGATGATGATGATGATGATGTTGATGATAAGGTGACGATGAGATGCTGAGATGATGATGTTGATGAAGATGATGATGATGGTGTCCCGATGATGACGATGATGATGATGAGGTGGATGACGATGCTGTTGATGATGATGGTGATGATAATGGTGTCCCGGTGATGATGATGATGTTGATGATGACGATGATGGTGGCCCGATGATGATGATGATGTTGATGATGAGGATGATGATGAGGTGAAGATGATGATTTTGATAATGGTGGCCCGATGATGATGATGATGATGCTGATGTTGATGATGATGATGGTATCCCGATGATAGTGATGATGATGGTGATGATGAAGGTACTGACGATGATGATGGCGTCCCGATGATGATGCGGTTGATGATGATAATGTTGCTGATGGCGATGGTGCCCCGATGATGATGATTTTGATGACGTTGTTCATGATGATGATGATGATGATGATGATGAGGTGATGATGATGATGGTGGTGTTCCGATGATGATGACGGTGTCCCGATGATGATGATGTTGATGATGATGGTGACGATGATGGTGTCCCGATGGTGATGATGATGGTGATGATGAGAATGATGTTGATGATGGTGGTGATGAGGTGATGATGACGATGGTGTCCCGGTGATGATGATGATGTTGATGATGACGTTGATGACGATGACGTTGATGATGATGACGTTGATTGTGAGATCGATTGTGATATCGATAGTGAGACCGATAGTGAGACCGAATGTGAGATAGATTGTGAGATCGATCGTGAGATCGATTGTGAGATCGATAGTCAGATCGATTGTGAGATCGATCGAATGAAATAGATCGAGTGAGATCGATTGTGAGATCGATCGAGTGAGATCGATCGAGCGAGACCGGTAGTGAGATCGATGGTGAGATCGATAGTGAGACCGATCGAGTGAGACGTTGGTTCCTCCGCCCCCCCGAACCTCCTTCTCACCCGAAGGATGGTCGTATGGGTATATATATATACACATATATATATATATATTATACATGTACATATATACATGCTCGACTCGAGGAGGTCCAACCCCAAGACAGCCCCAAAGCCGCCTCTCCAAGAAGCTTCCGAGAGGCCTCCAAGATGTCCCCACGGGCATCCGAGAGGACTCCGACCTGCAGCCTGCGCAGGCACGGTGGAGGCATTGGGCCGAAGGCCACCGGGGCACAGCTGCGCGGCCCGAGAGGAGGCCCTGGCGGGAGCGGTGCCTGAACCCCGGGGGGCTCTCTCCAAGACCAGCTTTCACCCCGAGTTTTCGGTCGGGCACGTCCTTCTACAGGCGGATTGTTTTCCCGAATTCTATTAACAGTCAACGACTGTTCCTTCTGCAGGCGGATTTTGGACGAACAGTGCAACATAGTCAAAGAATAGCCCAAAACTGTGCAAACATAGCCAAAACATCTTCCCCAGACTTGTTTTGTTTGACTATTCTTGAATATTCCTCCTGTAGAGGGACGCGCCCGACTTAAACCCGAGTCGTTTTTTGACGGCCCCAGGGCTCGAGGAGGGCCCTGAGAGCCCGAAGACGGCGAGGAGAACTCCGAGGCCCTTCTCCTCTGTCACGCCTCTTCCTTGCAACAGCAAGGGGACCGAAGCCACGCTGCCGCAAAACCTGACGGGGGCTGAAACGTAGAATGACTACCTACCAGACCACCCCAACCCAACCCGAAGACCCGAACTTCGAGTTGGGGGGGGTATGGGCTCCATATGTGTTTTGTTCGATGTTTCCGGACCCCCCCACACTGGAAATGGACGGCAAATTGAGGCATTCGGGTTGGGTTGGGGCGGTTTGATGGGTGGTGATAGAATGTCGATGCGGCAGGTTCGCGTCGTGACGACTCCAGCGCTGAATTCTGACACCACGCGGATCGTTCAAGCTTGATCGATCGGCGGCTCTTCGATCGCCAGATCGTTCCGTACTGGCCGGTGCTGGGCCACTGGCCGCATTCAACCTGGAACGCCCGCGGTGGGGTCGCCCAGCGTCGGTACAGCAACGAACCTGCCGATGATCGCTTTGAGCGGCGCGACCAAACTGCCAGTGAAGCAACCTCCAGGGTTCAATACAGGCCTCGGAAAAATAGCGAGCACTCATGCCACATTAATCTGTCAACGCCTCCCCCTACCCCCAATGTTCAAAGTTGGCGGTGGGTCTGACGAGTGGCGCCTCGACCGCAGTCTCCCCCGCGCGTGCCAACTTTGAGCTTAGGGGGGGGAAGGGGAGTGTTCAGTAATTGTTTCCCATTGCCGCGACAGCGGGGAGGGGGAGCGGGGCACGGGGGCCCCTGCTGGAGGAGGCGTGAAGGTGGGGCGCCGGAGGCGGCCACGGATGCCAAGGTGCGGGGCCCGCGGACTGCAGGGGGACCTGCAGAGGCTCCTGGGCGATGTCGGTGGTGGTGGTGGTGGTGGTGGTGGTGGTGGTGGTGGTCGTCGTCGTCGTCGCAAACGTCGTAAACGTCGTAGTCGTATTCGTCATAGGCGTATTCGTCGCCGTCGTGGTTGTCGTCGTCGTCGGCGGCGGCGTCGTCGCACTTGGCGTCGGCGTGATCGTCGTCGTCGTCGTCGTCGTCGTCCCAGCCAGTCCCAGGCGCCGCGGATGCACGCGAGGGCGGCGGCGAGGTGCCCGCGGGGTTGAGGCCGGATGGGGTGCACGGGGTGGGGTGTGGGAGGCGGCCATGGGGACCAGGAGCGGGGGCCCGCCCGGAACTGTGCACGACCACCGCCTCCGGGGGCCCTGGGGCCTCGGGCGGTGCTCCGTCTCTGCTCCAGCCTCGAGGTGCCACTCAAGCTGCTCTGGGGTTCTCATCGAACCATCGGCCTGCCATCGTGCGCTCCTCGGCGTCCTCGCCTTCCCGGGGACCAGCCAGGGACGGCGGAACTGGCCGCAGAGCTACGCGTCCACTGGCTCCCGGTGTCCCAGGGTCTCGCTTCCCCATGCGGTGGACACGCGCCACCGTACAACAGCCCAGCCTCGCACGTCGAAGGGGGGCGCCAAATATACACCTGCTCCGATCGTGGCCACGCCGATCCTGGGCCAGGGATCGGTGTACACGCCCTCCCGGCGTGTGCACTGATCCTTTGTCCAGGAGGCGCCTGGGCAGGGGGCCGGTGCAGGTGTACGCATAGGAGCAGCAGAGTGCATAGACATGGGCTTGCGGAGGTCCGCGCGGACTTCTGCTGGAGCCCTCCCGCGGGCGCCATCCGGCGCTGCTCCTGGCGCGCCACGCGCGCTGGGGAGGGGGGTCCAACGCCGACTTCAGCAGTCCGCACACCATTGCGGGAGCTGCCGTTTGCTTTTTCGAGAGACGGGCCTGGGCCGGGAGGGTCGGCGTGGGTGTGCGTGTGGCTGGCGTGCTCTTCCCCCCCCGTGCCGGGTGCGCCTCGTCCACGGTGGGCTCAATGCACTTCCCTCAGGTCGGGCATGTCCCCCTACAGGCGGACTGTGGACGAAACATAAAAACTACTCCAAAAATGCTCCAGAATAGTCAAAGATACAAAAAAAAATTCGTCCCCTGACTATTTTTTGACTATCTTTGAATACTCCTCCTGTAGAGGGACATGACTACCTACCAGACCACCCCAACCCAACCCGAAGACCCGAATTTCGGGTTGGGGGGGGTACGGGCTTCATACGTGTTTTTCCAATGTTTCCGGACCCCCCCCCCACTGGAAATGGACGGCAAATCGGGGCCTTCGGGTTGGGTTGGGGGTGGTTTGGTGGGCGGTGAGGACAGGCCCGACTTGGCACTGCCCCCCCCACAGGTCGCCGGCCGCCCACAGCGCTGGATGCACGTCGGCCTCTGCACGCCTGCTGGCGGCCGCCCGCCCGCACCCCTCCGCAGCGCCTGGCTGGTGAACTGCTCCCGCGGAGCGCACCCCGCTGCCCAGGCACGTGACCTTTCCCCCGTAGAGGAAGAAGAACTGTGCACATACACCGATTCTGGCCAGGCCCATCCTGGGCCCAGGATCGGTGCATACGCCCTCCTACCTTGGCCAGGAAGGCATCTGCACCGATCCTGGGTCAAGGATGGGCCTTACCAGGATCGGTGCATGTGCATAATTCTCTTCGCCCGACCCCGGGCCGACGCTCCATCCTGCACCGTTTCTGTTGACTGCCCTGGGGCCCGGCGAGAGCCCCCAGGAGCCGAAGGCGGCCGCGAGACCTCCCGTCCGCCGCGACTCGCAATCACGGCGCGAGCATGTCTGGGCCCCGCTCCAGCATTCGCCAACGGTGGCGCCACCTCCCAGGAGAGCCCAGAGTCGAATCGACAAGTCGCATCGGAAGTCGACACGAATCGGATCGGCGGAAATCGGCACCCGAGTCGGGAAGAGTCGAATCGGCGGAGATCGGAAGGCTACTCTGCGTCCAATAAAGAATCGGAGCCCGAATCGGAATCCAAAGTCGAATCGAATCGGAACCGGCAGCCACCGAAATGGAATCGGATCGAATCTGAGGAATCGAAACGGGCCCCGAACGGTGGCGCCCCCTCCTCGCCCGATGAGGAACACAAGCGTGTGCGGATGGCGTCCTCGGGGCGTGGTCGGGCCTTCCTGCTCGGAGCGCACCCACCGCGGACAGGGGGGAGGGCGGGAGCGGCCAAGAGGGAGGGGGCTCGCAACTCATGGCCGGAGGCCTGTGCGCGGACGAGGGGGGGAGGAGGAGGAGAAGCAGGAGGAGGAGGAGGCGGAGGAGGAGGAGGAGAAGGAGGAGGAGGAGGAGAAGGAGGAGGAGGAGGAGGAGGAGAAGGAGGAGGAGGAGGAGGAGGAGGAGAGAGAGGAGGGGGAGGAGGAGGAGGAGGAGGGGGAGGAGGAGAGGAGGAGGAGGAGGAGGAGGAGGAGGAGGAGGAGGAGGAGGAGGAGGAGGAGGAGGAGGAGGAGAGGAGGAGAGGAGGAGGAGGAGGAGGAGGAGGAGGAGGAGGAGGAGGAGGAGGCGGAGGGGGAGGAGGAGCAGGACGAGGAGGAGGAGGACGAGGAGGAGGAGGAGGAGGAGGAGGAGGAGGGAGGACGAGGAGGAGGAGAAGAAGGGGGGGAGGAGGAGGGATTGGGAGGAGGCGGAGGGGGGAGGAGGAGCAGGACGAGGAGGAGGAGGAGGAGGAGGGGGAGGAGGGGGGAGGAGGGGGAGGAGGGAGGAGGAGGAGGAGGTGAGGAGGAGGAGAGGAGGAGGAGGAAGGAGGAGGGGGAGGAGGGATGGGGAGGAGGAGGAGGAGGAGGAGGAGGAGGAGGAGGATGAGGAGGAGGAGGAGGAGGAGAAGGAGGAGGAGGAGGACGAGGAGAAGGGGAGGAAGAGGAGGAGGGGAGGAGGAGGGGGAGGAGGAGGATGGTGTGTTAGCATCTGGGTGTGTGGGAGGGGGGACGGCGGTGCTGCCTGTTGCTGTATTTCAGCAAGCTCCTTTGCATCCAGCTACCCACAGCTTCCAGTCTATGCACGCACCTAGCTTACTCAGCACCTCGGTCACCAGCTTCGTCACAGCTATCCTTTGCTCGCAACCTCGTGCACTGCAGCACGTCGCTATCAGTTATGTTTTATGTTCACGCCGCCTTGCTGGTTTCTGAATAAAAAAACAAAAAACTAATACAGGCCAGCCAATTACCGCGCCAACGTACTGGTACACGGGTTCGCGCTAAACTCGAACAGAAATTACAAAAAACGAGGGTCCCGAGGCCATGGAGGTTTGGGGTGAACCGTAAAACCCTGGGTAGCAGCACAAGAACTGCCACCATGCCTGCATTCGTTCTGCACGGTGCATCTTACAGTTCCAGCAGCGTTCATGGTTACTCTTCTTGTCCTTCGTTTTATTACCTGCCTCCTTGACCTCTCCCTCCTCCCTTTCGGGACCCCCTGACTCACAGGGTGCGCCCCCCTCTACGCACTGTGCTTTACCCAATTGGGCACTTCACAGGCCAGCTTTTAAACGCCAGCCTTTCATTCTATTATATCATACACGCAGCTTGTACCTATGAATCTTTAGGGTGGGGGATTGGGATGGGGATATCTGGAGGTTCTGGCGGGATGGGTGCATACTGGCACAGAGGCAATGTTGGCCCTCTGCAGAGGGGCGACAGCCCTACTGTGGGCCGCTGTTCCCACTGATGCCTCATATCGTTTACTGTTCTGTTACCTGCAGCGGACTTATACAATGCAGCCTCCTGGCTAGCCAATGTCTGGCCAGCCACTAAACAATTGCTAGCCACTAAACAATCTTTTTACTTGATTTTACCGAGACAGCAGGTAGCAGTCTCATGGGGGGCTCAGCTTATGTGACAACCATATATACTCACCTATCTGCATGCTCATGTACCATTGCTGTCTCCCTGTACTGCCTGGCGGGCGCCTACTCTTAGTGCCCTGCTGCGCCGCACCATTCCTTTTCCCTCCTTACCTGCGGCGCCCGCCAGGTATTGCGCCAATTCGGGCTTCTACATCCTGTTTCAGCTTCCACTAACGTCACACAACTTTCGCTCAGGTCGGTCGATCGTTAAAAGGGTAAAAGGGAGGAGGAGGAGGAGGAGGAGGAGGAGGAGGAGGAAGAGAAGGAGGAGGAGGAGGAAGAGGTGGAGGAGGAGGAGGAGGAGGAGGAGGAGGAGGAGGAGGACCGGGCGGAGGGGACCAACGGACATACGGAAAAAAACAAGGGGCATGAACTCTTAGGGGATGTCGAAACCCTGGCCCTGACGTCCCCCCCTGGTCATCACCCAACGCTTCGACGTCTGATGGTTTTCGGGCCATAACTCGGGCCGTCGGCGGCCGTGCGGCACTATCTGGGCATCCCAGGAAACGACGCGGCGCAGCTGATGTAAAGCACCCAATGGCGAGATAACCCCCGCGAAATCACGAAAGTGCCCGAAAAGCTCCGAGGGACAACCCCCGCAGTCATCATCCCCCCTTGGCCGCCCCTCAGTCATCATCCTCCCCATGCGTTGGCCGCCAAGCCAATGCCCGCCCCTAGCCATTACCCCCCTCTCGGCCGTCCGAACCAAGGCCACAACCATGATATTCCCCCACTAATCACCACCTTCCGCTCGGCCGCCCCTGGAGAGGAGGTGGGGCCCGAGGCCCCACGCTGGTCCTCGGGGAGTGCCGCCGGGGACTCTTCGAGCAAGACGGTCGCCCTCGCGGCCGCTGCGGGGGAAGGGGGAGAGGAAGGCTGGAGCGGGGGTTAAAAGGCAACGAGATAGGGGGTGGGGCTGGCTCAGAGGGGGCCTGGAATCGACGGTACACCACCGATCGATCGACAGTGGGCCCCCGATAGCGAATCCGCATTTTCCTGGCAAGCTGGGACTGTCGGCCCCCATCGGCGATGAGTGGGCGATTGGTGGTCGAAACGCCCCCCCTGAACCTATACCCCCCAATTGTTAACAATGAGGGCGCGGAGGGGAAGAGGGAGGGAACGAGGGGGAGGGACTAGGAGTAGAAGGTACAGGGTGTAGGGGCGCTGTTTTCAATGCGCGAAATAAGACGAGGTGCCAGGCAATGTGCAAGGTGGGCGCGGAAGCTTGGCCAGCCTCTGTGCGCCAGAGCAAAAACGGCGGCGGTGGGAAGAGACGATTCAAAGAGGCAAGGGGCAAGACCGACCGTTCGAGTCTGGTGCTCAAGCGAATCTGCCCGTGCCTCGCCGGCGCGAGTGTGCAACCGCACCAAACTAGCGAATCAAAGGGATTAGCTACGCGCAGGAGGCCTTCTACTAACCAGGTCCCTTACAAAAAGTTGAGTAAGTGAGGGAAGCTGAACACAGAGGACTTTTTACTGGCCAAGTCCTTTGCGACAAATTGCCCAGCAGCAGAGTTTTCGAATGGAGCGCGCAAAGATGCACTTGCATGCGCTGCTGTCCGAAACCTGCTGCTCCACGAACATAGCTTGTGGAAGCAACCCGCTCATCTAGCATGCTTGCCGCGCATTCGCGAACGCAGTTCGCGAAATGCAAACCTCTGTATATTCCCAGTCCGTTGTCGTTCGAACTGTGGGGGGAGCCGTCGACTCAGTGGCCCTGGTCGCCCTTTTCCTTGGTACGTTCGCTGCGACGGGAGCTCGGCGCTGTCTTCTTGTGTCGTTCCTCACTCAATCTGACCGCGGGGTGGTCGCAATTGAACTTCCCATTCATGACGTCGGCGATCAGGTCGCGAGTGTCGCACCAAAGCATATCGGATATGTGCTCGGTGCGGAGCTGGTCAGATAACCGCCGCAGGTAGCCTGCCGCGCCGTTCTCCGAAGGTAAGCCAGGGCGGAAAAGATGGCCGCGCCGTCCACGACCATCTCGGCCAGCATAACGTAACCTCCTTCCTCCCTGGCCTCCTTTCCTCTGCTGAGGCGGGCCCATCTCGTGGAGCGCCAGGAGGCGCGCCTGTGGGCCATCAGCTGCGCCGCAGGTTGCGAGCAACTCTGGGCCGAAGGATGATCGACGGGCAAGTTTGTGCAATCGGCTCACGGCATCGAGCAGGTGGCAGATCTGCTTGCCAACGCGGCGACACTTACCCAGACGCGTCCATTGCCGAGCAGGCGACGCGCTGCGTCGCGCGCCTGATGAGCAGCTTGTTCTCGGCCCGCAACAGCGCGAGGACGCGGGCGGCATCGCGGCGCTGCTCCGAGGAGGGAGGCAAAGAGGCGTGGAAGTGGACCTCCGGCCAGCTCGTCGGCCTTCGACTTGGCCAGGTCGACGTGCCCGATGGGGATCGGGGCGTCGATGTACTCGCCCTGGTCGAGCGTCGCGGCGCCGTCGGCGCTGCGGTCTTGATGGGCTCCGCAGATGGTGAGATCGTCGTGATCTCCCTTCATTTTGCCGAAGACGCTCTCGATGCGGCCGATGAGTCGGCCGACGTGCTCCTTGCGCCCTGCGATCCTGAGGTCGTCGACGCGCTTGAACATAGCGGGCGTGGGCCCCGAGCCGACGGCGCCACAGGTGCCGGGCACCCCGTGTTTGACCTCGAGCTCAGGGCCCCGCTGCGCCGGCTTGGCGTTGCACTCTGGCCAGCGCGCGAGCTTCAAGGAAAAAACTCCGGGCGCGTCCTTGCAGCCCGCGCCCGGCTCAACGCAGCGCAGGCACTCGGTTCGCTCGTCGAAGGACTCGCGGCCTGGAGCCTCCCTGAGGACGGCAGCGCTGCCAGGTTGCAGGGTGCAGTTCGCCTCGCGCGGTGCTTCGCCCTGCTCCTGCATCTCGGCGCGCGTAGATGGCGCCCCGCAGGAATGCCCTCGACGTCCGCGGCGACGCGCGCGCAGCCCGGGCGAAGAGCCGCCTCGGAGGAAAGAAGGCGCTGAGAAGCACGTTTCGCCGCGCCGTAGAATGTCTCCGAAAACTATGGCGCTCGCGTCGCGGGGCCGATCGTGAGTCGACGGGCTTGCCGCGCATTACTAGCGGGGGGTATCGAGTCAGGCGAGGGGATTATTAATACGCTCTTGCGGCAATCGGCTAAGGTTCGTCGGGCCTGATGCCGCCTGCGCGCGCCCCCCCGCCCCCGAGCTGGCCCCGCCGTTCGGCCGGGCTATGCGTGGGCAAGGTCATGGGCGGCGCTGGGTCGCCGTTGACGCGACCTCCTTGAATCGGGGCAGCGGGCGGCCATCCGTCCGCGCACTCGCGCGCTGTGCCAGCGAGGCGCGGCGAAATGTGGGCCGCCTGGCGAAATTTGGTGAGATCGGAATTCGCCGCCGACCAAATCAAGAACTCCCGTGCCCTGCGCGGGGAAGGCGCGCGAGCTTGCTGCTCCGGCCCCCAGGCGGGAAGGCGTCGCACCTTGCCAACAACTGGCGGCTGCGAACGCGCCCATTCCGACGGTCTTCCATCTGGAGCGGGGCCCCTCGCATCCTGGAGTCCACAAGCGATGGTGTTCAAGTAGAACTTCGAAGCCGCCGTGGGTGTCGGCCCCGTGCGTGCTTGCCCTCGTCAGCGCATTGGGTCTTTGCGTCTGTCGCATGGTTGGCGTGCGAACGGCACTCGGAGCCCCCTGCAACATCATAGTGTAAGTACTCGTCGCGCGTCGCGTTGCGACTGTGCTGGGCTTCGTCTGCTGTGCGATACTCAAGAGGGGTCTGCTTCGGAATCCAGGTCTGCCGCGCGGCAACTAATGCGCGAGTAGCGTGGGGGGTCAGGTTCCAAGGGGTCGAAAACGGATGTGCCCAGATGCGTTGAATAGTCGCTCTGGCTTGCCTGTGCCGCCCCTGGTTTCTACTGCGTAGTTGCAGAGAGGTCTGGGCTCTTCGCCAACGCCGTTGACGCGAACGTCGGATCAGTGGGCTGTCTGACGCTCGCGGACACGCCCGCAGGCGGATGCAATGGACGCGTTGTGTCCGCTGCCTCTTCCACCCTTGGCTCCTTCAACATAGCCGCAGGCAGGCGGCTCGGGGCCCTCTGCCAGCGCTGGAGACGTGAATGTTGTCTCGATCGACCGTCTGGCGTCGGCGGTCGCGCCCGCGGGCGGGTGCGACGATGGGGTCGGGCCCGCGAGTTGCCCGGGCGTCGTTCGGGGTGGCCTAGCGGGAAGCGCTGGAGGGGTGGGCGCGCGGTCCTTAAATCTTGCGCTGGTAATTACACTCCTCTCCTGGAATCGAGCCTAGTGGCTGGGCGGGCGAGACGCCGCTAGCCGCGGTCAGCGGGTTGGAGAGCGCGAAGACGGGAATGAGACGATTGCCCATGTACCATGTAGGTGCCGTACTTGAGGACAAGACGATGGGGTGGAAGAGCCGACGCCTTCGGGGCGGGGCAGCGAGGAGGCGCCGCGGCGGCGCCTGGAACGCAGCCGAAGCTCCGCTACCAACTAGGAGTAAAATGGAGCAGGATGTAGGGGCGCTCTTCTCAGCGTGCGGAATGAGACGGGGCGTTGGGTAATGTGTTAGACATGCCCCAGAGCAAAAACGGCGGCGGTGGTGAGAGACAACTAAGAGTGGCAGTGGGGCAATACCTACCGTTCAAGTGAGGGGGGGGGGAGGAGGAGGAGGAGGAGGAGGAGGAGGAGGAGGAGGAGGAGGAGGAGGAGGAGAGGAGGAGGCGGAGGAGGAGGAGGAGGAGGAGGAGAGGAGGAGGAGGAGGAGGAGGAGGAGGAGGAGGAGGAGGCCCCTGCGGGGGGGGGGGGGGGCCCGCCGCCCTCGGGAGGGGTTGCTGGCCCGCGCGATGCGTTCGCCAGCAAAGTCTTCGCGATCCACGTGAACTTCATGAAGGTCGGCGTGAAATACATCGAGATAATTGGAAGTCAAGGCACGCCGCGACGACAATATCCGCCACCAACTGTTCAACCGTAAGGCTACAATACTTATCCATTTCCGTGGAAACGCACCTGCAAGGATGCCGAGACCATGCGCGCATAGAAGTACATGAGCGCGAACAGACGCGGCCCAAACACGAGTGTGGTACAACGTCTGGCATGGGATGCAGCCTCGGCCCGACCACATCATCGAAATTGCTACGACCGCCCTCGCAAGAGGGTCCAAGCACGAGCTGCGTAATAGGCAACACCAGAGCGAATACGAGCTGCGTAACAGGCATCCCAAGTACGAGAATGAGCAATGAGCTGCGTAACAAGCGGCCTAAGGACGAGTACCACCACTATTGCGACACTAAATACGCCACCAAGAACGACATCAAAAGCGGCACGACCAAGCAACCCGACATGGTTTCTAAATACGTCGTCGTGGAGGTACCCACGGACAACGGCCGCGCCGCCCACGACGCGTACGACTACGGCCGCGCCGATTACCGCGAGTACGATTACGACCACGGCCGCGCCGCCTACGACGCGACCTGTGCTCAGGACTACGATGGGCCACAGGGCTACGACAGCCGCCAGGACTGCAAGGAAACCCAGAACCTGGAACACTACGACCTGGCAGCCGACGGCTCTGACTCGGACCTCGGGGACTAAGAAGAGAGCGTGCCCTCTGAGCTGCTACGGCCATCAGCAGAGCTAACTAGCCGACCTCCAGGAACCACAAGCTGAAATACGAGGACCACACACGCGCAGCTGCGAGAGCCACCGGAAGAGCTTCGCCACCCACCCGCCGAGCTGAGCGAGAGCCACCAGCAGAGCCACGAGAACCACAATCGCAGCTGGGAGGACCGCGAGCTGAGCGACGAGGAGCTTGGCTGCGAGGGCCACCTGGAGAAATACGGCGGGTTCGTGTCGTGCCG